GAGGTAAAATTTGGCCCTCGACTCTTTGGGCGATCAAAGGTTCGCTGGAACCAGCAAGAAAAGGAACACGGGACAGGGCGTTGCTGATGCTGGAGCTCACGAAATGAAAACACATGAAGTTCGACTTGCAAAACAAACGTTCGTTCAAAAATTTGACATTTGATGTTGGACAAATGACCGAAGAACGCCGAACCGAAATTTGGAATGCAAAACCTCACTACTAACTGTTTACTGGGTATAATAGAAGTTTAGAAAACATGAAGTGCTTTCTTGTAAGAAAACCGACCAGCCGGCTGTGCAAGATCAGCAGACAATGCCAGGCAACTACAGTTCTCGGAGTGCATTCCCATGGCAACTACAGTGCTCAGAGTGCATTTCCATGGCAACTACAGTTCTCAGAGTGCATTCCTGTTGCAAAAGAAGGATCCACGAGCGGGATTCGAACCCAGCACCCCTGTCTTTCCGGGACAGTGCCCTACCGATTAGGCTACCGGGGATCACACACACTCATGGGTCCTTCTTGCTACACTGCTCCCCCGCCCCAACAGCAGTGTAGCAAGAAGGACCCATGAGTGTGTGTGTGATTCCCGGTAGCCTAATCGGTAGGGCACTGTCCCGGAAAGACAGGGGTGCTGGGTTCGAATCCCGCTCGTGGATCCTTCTTTTGCAACACTCAGAGTGCATTCCCATGGCAACGGAAGTGCATTATTTCCACTGGCCTTACTTCTGATAGATGTCCGTAAGCTGTTGAGAGAGTGTTTTCTTTTGCGTGTTGAGATGTACAGCCATTTCAGCCATACCTGCCAGCGCACTGATACCGTCCTTATCCAGAACTTCTGAACCAACCATGAAGCCTACTCACAAAGGACAGAAGTCAATCAAAACAATGCGTACACACACACACACATTTTTTTACTATTAAGGCGCCAGTCACACATGCATGGCGCTTTTGCGACACCACCAAAGCTGCACCACAAAAGTTGGGATATCCCCGGATCACCATGGATACTGCGCCTGGCGCCACTGGCGCCACGGCGGCAATCTCAAAAGCGCCACAACCAAAAAATTGGTGGCGAAACACAAAAGCGGTAGTGCAACTTTTGCGGCGTTGTCGTTGTTGGATCTCTTGGATCTTGGAAAAATTAGTTTTTCATCTCTCGTCATGAAGTGGACTGCTGACCAAGAGCAACTGCTCCTCTCCCTCTATTTCGAGGTCAACCATCCGACATGGGACTCGACTCAGGCGTCCACCGATGCTCAAGGAGCTTCCGCAAGATTCAAACGAAGAGAAATTGAACAACATGAATATTGAGGCAATCTCCATAGCTCTCCGCAGTCGCTGGTCACGACGTAGTCGGCGATTCTGGGCGTTTCTGCGATCCATACCAGCGCAGGAAAGGAATTTTGAGGCTACAGTCTTTTTCAGAGAAAAGTTTTACGACACCTGTGGAGACCCGTGAAGCTGCGTGCGTACCAAAGCCTTTGCATGTGTGACCGCCGGCAGAAAAGAGCCGCAAAAGCGCCCACTGCCAGCGTGTTGGAGGCAGCCGCAAAAGCGGTGTCGCCGCCTGCATGTGTGACCGGCGCCTAACACAGCCCTACTGGGAAACAGGTGGAGAACAAAAAGAAACGAGGAAAAGGACAAAACCGTTGGGGATATAGGGGCGACGTGCCGGTGTGTTGCGAGCAACTCAACTCAACCGACCAGAGGTCTCGGCGTCAGCGTTGCAACCAGGCATCGAAAAATGGGGGGGGGGGGGTGCACAAGAATGACTGCGAAACAAACAGAAGCTAGAAAATACCACAAAAATAATAACTTGGTGCGAAATAATGAGAAGAAAGTAATGACGCCCAAAAGCGCTAAATACGAAATTAAGAAAAGTCTCAGAAAAAGCTAAATCCAAAGCCGTACTGGATCCTCTACTGCAGTCTTGCACACACTATGTGTGTTAGAGTTACTAGCACAGTGTACATGAAACAATGCTGGCAACGAGACAAACTCTATGTTTTCCACCGGACAGCAGTGTATGTGACACTGACTAGCGGTGTACTAGCGGTGGATTAGGTGAACTGCAAATGTACAAAAAATGCCCAGTGCCCAAAACCGTACACCACTACAGTCGGTACTTAGCTGTAGCATCTATGCCAGGGATAGGGTCACTACCCAGCTATGGGGTCACTACCCAGCTATGGGGACAATACCCAGCTATGGGGTCACTACCTAGCTATGGGGTCACTACCCAGCTATGGGGTCACTACCCAGCTATGGGGTCCATGCCTGGCTATGGGGTCACTACCCAGCTATGGGGTCACTACCCAGCTATGGGGACAATACCCAGCTATGGGGTCACTACCCAGCTATGGGGTCAATACCCAGCTATGGGATCACTACCCACCTATGGGGTCACTACCTAGCTATGGGATCACTACCCAGCTATGGGGTCACTACCCAGCTATGGGGTCACTACCCAGCTATGGGGTCACTACCCAGCTATGGGGTCACTACCCAGCTATGGGGTCACTACCTAGCTATGGGGTCACTACCCAGGTATGGGGACAATACCCAGCTACGGGGTCACTACCCAGCTATGGGGTCACTACCCAGCTATGGGGACAATACCCAGCTATGGGGTCACTACCCAGCTATGGGGTCACTACCTAGCTATGGGGTCACTACCCAGCTATGGGGTCACTACCCAGCTATGGGGTCACTACCCAGCTATGGGGTCACTACCCAGCTATGGGGTCACTACCCAGCTATGGGGTCCATGCCTGGCTATGGGGCAGCACATAGCTATGGGGTCAATACCTAGCTATGGGGTCCATGTCTGGCTATGGGGCAGCACATAGCTATGGGGTCAATACCTACAGTCCATTTCAAAACTATAGACGCGTACCTAGGCAAAAACCGTTGTGCCAGCATATAAAACATAAAATCTGTGATCACTTTGGGCGTCTGTTATCCAATCGTTTAGAAACTATATGAGAGTAATTGTGGAGCGGACCTGAGCAATATTCCGAAAACTATTCTCAAAAAGTTCCAGCCAAATTTGAAATATTTCAAAAACCCTACGCGTCATAGTTTTGAAATGGACTGTAGCTATGGGGACAATACCTAGCTATGGGGTCAATACCAAGCTATAGGGTCATTACCTACATCATAGCGATGGGGTCAGCACCTAGCCATGGGGTCAATACCAAGCTATGGAGTCAGCACCTAGCTATGGGGACAGTCAGTACCAAGCTATGGGGTCAGACCTAGCTATGGGGTCGTTGCCTAGCTATGGGGTCGTGGCCTAGCTATGGGGTCGTTGCCTAGCTATGGGATCGTTGCCTAGCTATGGGGTCAGTGCCTAGCTATAGGGTAAGCATCTAGCTATGGGGTCATCACCTAGCTATGGGGTCAGTACCTAGCTATGGGGTCAGTGCCTACATGTAGCAATGGAATCCATACCTGTCGATGGGGTCAATACCCAGCGATGGGGGCAATACCCAGCGATGGGGTTCATACCCAGCAATGGGGTTAGTACCCGCTATGGGGTCCATACCCAGCTATGGGGTTCATACCCAGCAATGGGGTTCATACCCAGCTATGGGGTTAGTACCCGACTACAGAGCCAGTAGCTAGCCACACAGTCCCGTGTTTATCTTCTAAACTCACCTATGGCTTCCTCAAAGGCGAAGAGAACCTTGTAGCCTTCCTCTGACCGTTGCTTTGTGAGGTTTCCCATCCACTTGAAACCAGTTAGTGTTTCCTGATGGTTCACAAATAGGAAAGAAAACAATGAAGAGTTCAACTATTCAGATTAAAAAAATCCACTCCTAAAACATTGTTTGAAAACATCAGATCACACCACAGATTTTTACTACACTGCACATGTAGCAGTGGTTGAGAGTCACCTCAGATACTTACATCAAAATGGAAACCTTCCTGCTCGGCCATGGTAGCTATGATCTTGGATGATACCGTACTGGACATCATACACACCTTGCTTGCTAGAAACACAAGACAACACACAGCACACAAGAGTGACAACACACAACACACAACACACAAAACAACACAGTAGCACATGTTGAGATAACATGGCATGTACACAGTATAACATACACCAAGCACACAGCACAGCACAGCACACAGCATAGTACAGTTGCGCTCGGTGAAATCCGGCCCGAAGTGCAAAGCCGGCGCCGCGAAGCCAGCTCCCATTACATCACTGGCGATTTGTGCGTATGAACTCAATTGTACGCACCTCGTGTAAAAGTTCGGAGTGCACGTGTTGCATGCTAAAAACAGTTCAAAATTTCTTTCATTCACTTCACGAAGTACAGCTCAAGATCAAGAAGAGATAGAGAAGAAGGACATGGTCATTCCCAATGTGTGGGCTCTTCTCAAGAAGAGAATAATTCCACATCGCTGCGAGAATGCTGACCAGCTGGTGTAGGCACTGCACCTGGAGTGGGACTCGTTGGCTCCTGACACGGTTTCCCCATACGTGGAGTCAATGCCACGTCGTGTTGAAGCCCTAATCGAAGCAGACGATGGCCACACAAAATATGGAAGCCCTGCTGCTCTGTGTATGAAATAAACTGCTTCGAAACGATCTCCGTCTTCTTTACTTGTGCTGAACTGAAATGAATGTTACACTTGTCTTTGTTTGGCGCGGTTTTTTACACTTTGGTGTAGCATGCATGCGTATGAGTACAGCACAATCATGCACAGTTCATACGGCACACGTGCACACTAGCACTGTCACTAGCACTTGTACAACTTTGAGGGCGTCAAGGGCCGCATCAGTACTGGGCGCCAGTTATGCACTTCGGGCTGGATTTCACCGAGCGCAACTGTACATATCACACGGTATAGCACATAACTTAGCAAAGCGCAGCACAGCACAATGCACAGCACAGCACAATGCACAGCATACTGCACAGCACACTGCACAGCACAGCACACTGCACAGCACAGCACAGCACACTGCACAGCACAGCACAGCACACTACACAGCACAGCACAGCACAGCACAGCACACTGCACAGCACAGCACAGCACACTGCACAGCACAGCACACTGCACAGCACACAGCACAGCACACTGCACAGCACAGCACAGCACACTGCACAGCACAGCACACTGCACAGCACAGCACAGCACACTGCACAGCACAGCACACTGCACAGCACACTGCACTGCACAGCACAGCACACTGCACAGCACACTGCACAGCACAGCACACTGCACTGCACTGCACTGCACAGCACACTGCACAGCACACTGCACAGCACACTGCACAGCACACTGCACTGCACTGCACAGCACACTGCACAGCACAGCACACTGCACAGCACACTGCACAGCACACTGCACAGCACAGCACACTGCACAGCACAGCACACAGCACAGCACACTGCACAGCACACTGCACTGCACAATAGAACATGATGAGGCACAGCTGGGTAATATACACCACACAGACTGAGACTAAGAAGAGCGGCAATAAGACATCAAAGGGACATCAATGTCGGATGAATAGTGTGCAAAGAACGGCTTTCAGATCATGCTGGACCCGGTCGTAACTAGAATCAGATTTCATATAACCATGGTAACGGGGAGAGACAGTAGCAGTTTCGCTATGCTGAGCAGCTTCATGAATTTTTACTGTTGGAGCGGTATCCCGCCAGCAACAGCTGTGATTTCGCGTTATTATCGTGGGAGAACATGTTAAAACACGGTACGGGGGTGGGGGGTGGGGGGTGGGGGATCACAGTGAGTGCGTTCGATTATGCCCGCGAATCGATTCACGCTATTCACATCACCCCGTGTGAATAGGGTGAATGGATTCCGAATAGATTCCAGGGCTCATGACATGAAAATCGAACAACTTGAATGCATGCGAATGGATTCATGAATCGATTCAAGTGCGTAATGGAACGCAGACAGTGAGGTGGTGGTGGTGGGGGGAGGGTCACAGTGAGTGACAAAGCGATACAGAACTAGCCAGTCTGCTTTGCCATACCACACCTGTAGCAGCCCTTTGACATTACACTACACTACACTACACTAGACATTAGTAACCTGTATAATTATTACTAATCTGTACATTACTAATCTGTATTGATCAGTCCATAGCACAGCCAAACACAGTACATATGTACCTGCGAAATCAGGATGTGTACGTTGATGGTTCTCCCACAACCACCAGGCAAACAGTGCGCCTATCTCATTGCCAGAGAACACATGCCAAGAGCCACTAAATAAGATATACACACACATACACACACACATATACATAGACATAGACACACAAATACACACACAGCCAAATCATTAATGAATGGCAGTCATAATGACACGGTACAAGTGGTGGTTGAATGGGAATTAACTAATCTAACTCTACACAGCCTTCATCAACCTTGCAATTTTTTCTTCAATACACATCATATAAGAATAACAAGAATGCCAGCCAGCCAGCCAATTGGTCAAAAAGCTAACGTGAACACATGCAACTTGCTGCCTACACTCGTACCAGTAGGTTAGTTAACACTATGTCACTATGTCACTATGTCGCTATGTCACTATGTCGCTATGTCGCTATGTCGCTATGTCACTATGTCACTATGTCACTATGTCACTATGTCACTATGACGCTATGTCACTATGACGCTATGTCGCTATGTCACTATGTGCTGTAGGAGAGAGTGAGCAATGTGCTGGAGAGCCGCGAAGCCTTGTTGTGCATCATGTACTGAAGTAGATCAATAACTTGGTAATACTTACTCAGGTTTCTTCTCGGCAACAGCTAAACGATCGGCATCGGGATCATTAGCCAAGATCACCGTTGAACCACGGGCATCTGCTGCGGCCATGGCTAGATTCTAGCAGAAGATACACACGCCATGAAGACAAACACACCATGAAGGCACACACACACACACACACACACACACACACACACACACACACACACATACACACACACACACACACACACACACACACACACATACACACACACACACACACACACACACACACACACACACACAAGATGAAGACACACATACGACGAAGACAGAGATAAGAATGCATCAGCTAACAATGGTATATGCACCGCCAATGCATGAGCTAACAATGGTATATGCACCGCCAATGTATGAGCTAACAATGGCATATGCACCGCCAATGCATGAGCTAACAATGGCATATGCACCGCCAATGCATGAGCTAAAAATGGTATATGCACCGCCAATGCATGAGCTAACAATGGTATACTGTAAAAGCCATATATATATAACGAAGTGCTAACTCCAACGAATTAACGAGGAGAAATCTGTCGTTAAAATAGAAATCGTTATACAGAAATCGATACATATACTGTCCTATTGAGCGTTGAGAATGAGTGAGAATCGTTACCTTTGGTACACGTAAACTAGTCAATTTTGGTAAATCGTTATATATGCGCCTCGTTAGAATAATGGCTTTTACAGTATGCACCGCCA